GCGTTTGGAATGTATTGATCTCGAAACTGCAATGTAACTTTACATTGAGTGACTGTTTCATTTCTTCACTTTGATAGATTCRAGCAAAATTACAACGCAAAGTCAAAGCAATTGATGATAGCCATTACCAAAAAAGAACATCAAATAAGACMCAAGATATCCAGCACAAACCGCGTGTGTTCAAATCCCATCACGAAAACGTCAAACTTTCTGACTTTGACCAATCAGGTTTCAAAGATACTTCACGGCACACTTGGCCTGTCGGGTAATAATCTTTTTTCGTGAYGTYACGGCTAACAGTCRCTTTACTGTTTACGATTCGATAAAACGTCACCGCKTGCCGTTTCCTCCTCRGCAAGCATCTCTTGACTGAGCTTCCTATGTCACAAGGAGAATAGTTAGCCTGCTAACAGGCGTTCCTGCTGGGGGGCCGAGAAGACTCTTTTTAACTTGAGCTTATATCGTTAGTTCTAATCAGTGTGTTTCTAGAACTCATTAATAATTCATTAGCTATTAGTCCAATGAGGTCAATGAGCATCGAACTATTGTGTCACATGATGGGCCTTTAAATCCCGATAAAGCACTAATGTTTTTTTTAATCAGTTCTATATCCGGATATAAAGAACTGATGTTCAACTTCATCAGTGCTTTATCGCAACCCAACACTAGCAAAAAGGTCTCAATTTTAATGTCKCATCATAGACCTTGCTSCTCGAATCTCATATTTAAGAAATACTAGACGATCAYGGATCGCTTACGTGGCCTTCCTGYAGCTRTGACAATGGTCAGCTGTCGCCATTACGTTTTTTTAGCCTTTGTCGGATGATTTACATTCATGGTTTCCAAACAAACCAGCTGGTCACAGCACAGGCAACCCAAGCAAAGCATTTGATTCAAAATTGTTTTTTTTTTTAATAAAATACATTTTACCTTGATCTCATGTGTTGCTGATGTTATTTAACATTGTTGTGTATGGTTTTGAAGGGATTTAGAGCTATTTTTAAAAAAATATCGATTACAAGTAGTCTTTTATGACTGATGGCTAAAGGATGCTAAGTTATCCTGATATGACACAGATGGATTGATAATAGATAGCGCGTGTTGTAAAACCAGTATTTGTTAATTATGCACAAAACTGCATTGTTATTCAAATTCAACTGGTACTTAATAAAAACAATTTTGAAAATGACACGTTTGTAACGAAACGTCAAGTAAAACTTGTCTCGTTATCGTAACTTTTATTTCTAAATGTTAAAAATYACACTTATTAAACACTCTTTAAATCCTAGAAATAAAAACTATGACGAAATTAAATGTCCGTATTTTGKTATTGTATGTTTGTTGTAGTTTATTGAATGCACATAATGGGCTAATGAAGGTTTGAAAACGTTAATGAATCTGCGCGCAGTTATGCATGATTGTCCGTATCTATTCTAAATATGTTAATGATTCTCCCTTCACGCTCTTGAAACTCCCTAAGCGTTAATGAACGTTCGTTCGCCCTAAAGACAATGCAGTTTCGCTTGATTGAAAGTTCCTTCGCGGTTAATAACAGCAAAAGGTGTATTTAACCAATAGCACTATTACACCCTTATACACTTTGTCTCTCCTTTACTATTACACTTTGTTCCACGGGTTAATGAGAACGACTCTATTACACTAAATACACCTTACTTGGCGATCTAATTCTTTGCCTTCGAATTCTCTTTTGTGCAAGCTTAGCTTCAATCAAGCATAAATGGTGGTTTAATAAATTACAGCAATCCGCAAACTGTCAACAATGGCTTTCGTATGTTTTCGTATGTAATAATGCTGCCTTTGGAACTTGAAAAGAACTGACAACTGTCTTTTAATTAGCATTAGACTTCACTCMCTTTATCAACTAACACAAACTAGCTGGCACTGAGTTTTTTTCATAGCGTGGGAAATGAAGACGATCTTGAGATGATAGGAACAGTACAATTTTATTTTTTTAATTTTATTCAAATGTATGTCTTTCCGCTAACTCTTGTAAATTTGCATAGCTACTCAAGRCGAACTAAATCCTAAATGCACAATTTGTTTGTACAGTTTTGTTGCCGAAGAAAGTAAAGACGCAGACCAGTTTATAATACAAACAAAAAACTTTAGAAAGTGTGAATCAGCTTTTAAAAGCTACTGCGAGTCCCTTCAAAGGTCTCAGCAATGCCAAATACTGAATTCCCAAACTACATGAGTCATAGATAGCCCTCTATACTTCTTTTAAGAGACTTGTAGGTCTCGTGAAGTGACATTATTCTAGTTGGAGAGATATCATGGCAGATTGCAGTTGCAGTCTTTAGATCACATTCTTCCGCTCCAACTACAAAACAAAATCCAGGGATATCGGTCACTTTAATTCCTAAATCTCTCGCTGCTACCCCAAAGAACGCATCATCAGCGTGAAAAGGCATACGGAATTGAGTATAATTGAAATATTCCGGGAGAATGTCAGTGGAAACAACTTGGAACGAGCCATGTGCGAATGGCGGCCAATGCTCGCCTTTGTATTGCTCTTCCGTGATATACCACTTGCTTCCAGGAGTTCGAAAAACATTGGCTACGTATTCGATTAAACCACCGTAAAATCTCCTACGTGGCATCGTTACATTGTTGAGCCAGTTGTACACCCATGGTACACGTACATAAACATCGTCATCTGTTTTGAGAACGTATTTACAATGAAACCTTGAAAATACCCAAAAATGGCTCATAAAAGTCTTGATGATAATATTCTTATACGAGTCATTGAAGTTGCCTATGATTATATCATTGTGTAAAAGCGCTTCGTGGTTATTGTTCATCGCTGTAGCAACGTCAGGACTTGAGCCGAGAGAAAAAAACAATCTCCACTTCAAAGGAGTATTAGATGTTGGTTTCCCCCAAGTAGTTCGGATAGCTGTTCTGCTGTCGCGATGTCGAATGTCGTTAGCGTCCGAGTTCACAACTACAACCATAAAAAGCTGTCTTTCTTCGCATGATATATTTGGCTCGATTTGTGGCAAAAGTAACGGAAACTTTGTCCAGCCATTTGGATCAAATAGAAAGGTTTTTTTCATACACAAGCCGATTTGTGGGCGATCGCTGATCGTCATATTAGAAAAACTCATATTCAAATTCACGCGCCACGAGTCGCTGAAATGCGAGGCCCCAGAGTGAAGTACAGTTAAGTAAACTGCCAAGCTCGCAAGGAAAATAAACAGTACAACCTTCTTCCTCCTTCGAAGTTGAGCTAATGGTAAAACTGCTATGAAGCACCAGTTACATCTCGCCATTTTGAATAATTGCGATGCTTTCCGCACAGTATCAAACCAATGCTCCGTTGCTATGAAACGATTTTGGCACTGTCTTTAACAAATTAAACTTGAGATGAAATGTCAGCTGTTGAGAAGATAAAACGGTGAACCATGAGCGGGAGATATTTAAGGAGTAAACGATAGCTTGAAGCGGTTTACTGGCGAAATAAACCGCGAGGGATGGTTGGGAGAACTCGAGAAAAGATCAGTAGATTTACCTTTTCGAGTGTTCTTCTCCCAACTCTCCCAAGTTAGCACTATTTTGTAGTATAGACCCCTTGCATGTGACGTCAAAGCAGCTTCATYTGGAGGACAAAACAAAAGATTTTTATCCTCTTGGGAACTAGAATCCATTGTTTTGTCCTCCAGTTGGAGCTGCATTCCCATGAACTGCAAGGGGTCTATTGTGCACATATATTGCTTGTACTCTAACATAATTATGCAAAAGATAAAGGAGCACATGGCAAAGAAAGTTAAACAAAGAAGATTTTTGCTTGTTTATGTATAAACTGCAATTTGAACAATAAAAGTGAATGTTATTCACAAAACTATGTAACGTTGTCATTATTACATAAAAGTTCTTGTCTATGAACAGTCTGATTTTCATATAATATTAACATCATGAGTCAAAATAGACTGCAACAACATAAGCTAGCATAATAGGTCAAATCATTTTGATGTGTAATCTAGTAATGACAGTAATCATGCGGTCGGGACTGGTCTGTAACAAGCCAAGCGAAGCAATCGGACTTTTGTTGTCAAACAATCCCCGTAAACCACTACAAAATCTAAAATATTCTTTAGAAATACACACTTGACTGCAAATGCAAAGAACATGAAAGAAAGTTGTGCCTAGGTCTAGACACAACAGAGTTTAAATACATAATACATACATAATAATAATTACATAATAATAATAATAATAATAATAATAATAATAATAATAATAATAATAATAATAATAATAATAATAATAATAATAATAATAATAATAATAATAATAATAATTACATACGTAATAGAAAGAACAACTCAGCTTCGAAAGCACAAACACATCAACGATCGAAGAGAACTGAGAACGCACATGGTCAGGACAAATCGTTTCTTGATCGTATTTTCAGTGATTATTTCTGAGACGTCAGGATTTCGTAGATAACTTCGTATAGTCTCGTATGAATCGATAAACCCGAAATTACTTCGATCGTAAAAGATCTCCTTGACTACAACCACATGTTTAAGTTACCACCAGGAACGCCTGGTAGAAGTCGAGTGGTTACACTTATTTACCAGGCTCCGTCTGAAAATCAGGCTAGTGTGTCTAGATAACACAGAGGTGACGGTTTTGATCACGCCATTTTTTTGGGTAGACAAAATAACAAGGATACAGTGTGACTATCAATGTCACATATTTCCCGTTTAATTCCTACTCTGAAAGAATCAGCAATTTTCAAACGTTAGATCCTACGAAAAGGAGTTAACTGGCGAGTTTTGAAGGAATTAGTTGATCTAGGGAGCGAGTAAACTCAATTTTAGTGTGACGATGACCCCGGAAATTGCAAAGAAATTGAATACCCTGCTTCCAGAGGCTTGTGTTTTTGCTTTCTGTTTTATTGTTGTCGTGTCGCGAAGCAGCGAGAGGTTTCAGTTAATCGGTTTGTTTAAGGCCCGTTTACACTTGCAATTTTTGCAGCGCGATTGTCGCGCGACAATATCGTACGTGTAAACAGCCCCGCGATTGAGTTGCAGCTAAATTTCAAGCATGTTCGAAACTCAGGCGATTGTCGCGAGACAATCGCGCTGCAAAAATTGTAAGCAAAAATTGCAAGTGTAAAATGGCCTTTAACCGTGCTTCGGGGTAAGACAGCATAGTACGTATATAAAAGCAAAAGAATTAAAGACAAACCTCTGCAGGACATTTATATGTTTACCCGATTTCAATGGGAATTTCCTTGAATGATTTCCCGATTGGTTTACACCACAGTCCGACACAAAAGTTCCTTGCTAGCAGTTTCTCTCGTTGTAGTTCCGTTGTAGCTCCTTGTAATCAAGACAGACTCTTCCGAGTCGAACTGCTTTGCCTTGTGTGCAGCCGTCCGTACATGTTCGGAAGGAACTCGTTTGATAACCGCTTTAACGGCCTTGATTTTCTTATCGTGCAGCTGTCAAGCCCAGAAGTGATGCCTATCTGTGAACACGCTATTGAAATCCTCTTGATTTCTTCACTACACTACAACACGAGAGAGACTCTGCTAGCAGAGAAACACAAAATTAACTTATTTAAACAGTGCCAGTGGTATTTCTGACATCTTTGTTCGATTTGCTCAGTTGTGTTGTTATTGGTCATTATTTCGTTGCAATCATTTGAAACTTGAGCCTGTCACAAAGKATGCAAGAGAGGAATGTTTACGTAGCCTCCTTTAATTACGTAGCCCGACCGTAGCCCTATAAGTTTTCGGTGACACAGGAACTCCAGATGAAAACATTTCGCTGCCTAAGCCTTCCAAGTAATCACTATGTTTATTTCGCTGTTAGACTTAGGATTAATTAACGTCCGAAACGCCAGTAAGTTATTTCACCTACTTTTTTACGGTGTTAAATTGATCTTTTTACACACGGTTTCCGTTAAAACACGTAGGCTCACACTAGTTTTAATACCGCTAGTCTAGGGATCGACCGTTCAGTTTTTATCTGGAGGAGGAGAAGGGGGGCTTGTGGTTTTTGAAACTTTCTCGTTGCCCACCCCCCTAATTGGACATAAKTTTTTCAAATGAATCACCCCCTTGACCATGTTGACACGACCACCACTCTCTTTATAAGAAAATGTTGTATTGAATATCAAGTATAGGATAATAATTTTGCATGCCCGGCCTACCCCTCTAACATGGTTTTTGTTTGAGCGAAAAAAGGCAWAAAGAGTGAYGAAAAGTTTTTGTTGTTGTTCCAATAGGCCGTTCCAATCCGGCCAGTGGCTTACAACGATTACAAGGAGTAGCACGACTTTTTTCCACAACTAGCGAGTAGAGACTGTCTTGTCACGTTTTCATTTGACCGTGAAAAGGTTAACTAGTCTAACAGTTATAGTATACGTTTCCTGAATTGTTTTCTTTTGTTATTCAACAATAAATATTAACTAAATAGTTGTTTTCACTTAAATCATTGCACGGTGAAAACGTCGCCCTTCCAAGGTCGTCCGCCATGAYAGCTGGGCTTTACTAAAACGTCAAAAAGGCCTGAAAAAGCTTTCGATTATACTGAATTCAGATACGAAATGAAAGCTTTGATAGATGAAATAGCAGTAAATCCCCAACCCCCCAAAAAAATAATTCAAAGCAACAAACAAAAACAAAAAATACACGTACTCTGTACTTACCGAAGTCCACCAAACTGACCTGACCTGGGGAAACAGGCAGCCCATCCATTGACTTTTTTTAGCATTTTATTCTTTCTCCGCCAAGGACCAGAAGTTCGGACCCACTCYTTCTTTTAAAGGGTTCAAAAAATCAAAATCGAAATTACGATCAGTTGATTAAGTTCATAAATGAAGAGAATACATCTRAATTGTTCTCATTTCAAGAAACAAAGCCTAYRGCTTTCATGTAAAAAATCCCATTTTCTGCAGCCCTAAATCCAATCCTTTTGAGATTTTTTTCTTGAGTCGACCACCCTCTAAATTTCCTGGATCCCTCACTATTCTTTTTAACATTTCATTTGGTTGCAAACTCATATTGTACTGTATTAAAAGCCATGTTAGTGATTATTCCATTTTGCTATAGCTAGTACAGGGATCAATGGTATATGTTATTTTGTCTAAAATAACTTAATTTTTAAAATGTTTTGACATAGTTCGGATCACAACAGTACAAAGTAAATATTCTCCTTCATTATTCCCTGTGCCTTTGAAATTAGATAACTGTTGAGGATGCATATATAATTCAGCACAATTCAAACTCAAGAGTTTTATTAAAATTATCCCATAAAATGATTTAAATAAGTTAAAGTTATGAATCAAATGTCTTGTGTCATTCCAGCCTTGTGCAAAGGGGTGTTAGGAGGAGTGACCTCRTTGACCACTGGGCTTGTAATTACTCCAGTTATATGGGCTTGCTGGACCTAAACCAAAAGAATTGAAATTACAAAAAAATGTCAAAAATAWAAMAATAAAAAAAGCTTAAGATTTTACCTCACTRATAAAACTGCAAATTGCTTCTAAATAACCCAAGCATTGCCAAGTATCATTATGGCTGCCACCATCAAAAGTCACTAGTCTCTTAAGTGTAGATCCTGAAGTCTTAAAATAAACAATATTATTAATGTATCTTGAATATATACAAATTCCTATGAGAGAGATAGAGGATACTTTATGAAGAAAGCCGTGTGTAATTCCCAAAAATGAAGCAAAATATCTTGTTCCAGAATCGAATGCTGACAAGCACCAGATAAACAAAAAATGAAAAACAAAAAAGAAAAACAAACAAACAAACAAAAAAAAACAAAAAATAACTTAACGTTCTCTCTGGTAATACATGTTGGTGAAAAGTAGAGTCACTTGAAGATACATATTTATCTTCTTGTGTAGCTACACTCACTCATGAGAAATCTTTTCAACTTTCAAATATAAAGTCTGTATCTCTGCATGCCCATTGTAATATCCTCTATGTAATAGCTTATTGTGACACTGGTGAAAAACGCACTGCGCATGTCCACAGCTTTCCCACTAAATCTGCCTAATTTCCTTTATAAAGCGATTTTGTGAAAGTTTTTTTACAATTTATAAGCTCGTTCACCGATATATAAGATTCATATTTCCATCAATCATTGTTCATGATAGGTCCTTTTAGTATGTAGTTTCTATTTTTATCTTGTTATTTCTATTTTGAGAAAATGAGGTTTTTCGTAGTGTTTTCTGTGTTGTCGCTGTAAATCGCCAAGCGCTCTGTTTACAGATTTCAAGACGCCAGCGCCCACTGGCGGGAAAGCTGTGGGCATGCGCAGTGCGTTTTTCACCAGTGTCGCTTATTGTGGCTCTATATGAAATGAAAGAGGCTAGGTTTGAACTTTTAGTATAAATAAAGACAATTGGTAAAATGGAAAGGGGTCAGAAGAGCTTTAAGGGTTATACCTGATAAAGTAATTTCATCATTCTAGGTGGAATCAGTTGATCAGCCAATCCAGACAAAAACAGTGTTGGGGCTCTTGTGCTGTTTATTTTTGCAATAGAATCAAACTAAAAAAAATCCATATTACAGTTATCAAAATACATGTACAGTTATTAAAAAGGGTGGTTGTCCTCGTTGTCCCTTTTAGAGTTTGAAATCAGTGTTTTGGTCCCGCTTAGGGTGATAATTACGTGAGTTCCCACCATCTGAGTTTCGTGGTCCCTTTCAGGGTATAAGATGCCCCTAAGCTGTCATTATAATATAAGATCAACTACAACCACAACTGCTAATTAGATTATTGATCTCAATACGAGCCAATGGCGTTCGATGCTTGTGCAAAAACACATATAAAATCGGGAAACCAAATCAAAATGATGTGTTATTGATTTGTCCCTCAGTGGTGAAATTTCTGCACTGCCACGCCCATCATCTCACAATACAGGTGCCTTTTAGGGGTCATTTTTAGAATTTCCGACGAAGACCTGCACCATTTTTATTAGGGAGTCCCCCTTCTGGATCCATATTTCCAGTCAAGTATGTAAAATGAGCAAAAACATACCTTATTCCTAAAGCAAAAATACGGTAATCTATGAAGTCCACTAAGTAGCTCACTGGCCATCGATGGAATATTTGTGAAAGTGTTCTCTACGATCAGTGCAAAGGCTCTATTTACAAACAGAGGTTGTGAAGCCAAGTCTATGGCTACTGCTCCACCAAGAGATCGGCCAAATATAATAATCTGACTTGCATCAACGTCAGGTCTGTTAAGAAGGTGCTCCATCGCAGCTTGTGCATCTAGAGTAAAACCTGAATGACAGAGAAATGTTTGGTTAACTTTACAGCAATTTTTTCATGACATCTGTGAAATACATAGTACTACTTGCTTATGCTACTCTGGGTTTTAATCTGTGAAACATGCACTGAAAGTTAATATGTAATAATTCTAGTTATTACGTAGGAGCGTAATTTTCATGGTAGATTTTTCAATAAACTTCCAAGGAAGGTGGTCAAGTAATAACGGGGGAGGTGATGGGATAAACATGCCTGAAATGATCAGATGCAGAGTTGAAAAAGGAAGTATTTCCATGGCAAATCAAACATGAAAGTTTTGTGCCATATTAAACAATATCTAATGAATATGAAGTCATCCAGCTTTACGAGATGTCATTTTATACGGTCTTTAACTTAACCCTTTTACCCCTTTTTTTCATTTCTTTTCTATTTGTTTTGTTTATTAGTGACAAAATGAAAGAGACAAGTGAAAGAGTAATCTCTTATTACTGCTGATTCAATTGCTATTGGCTCAACCAGATAAAATTCCAGACAGTACTGACAGCTGTCAATCAACTAAAAGTACTTTGGGATCAAACGTCAGTTACTCTGAAAATAATATGAACAGTTTTGAATGTCAGCAGCTCTATTGCTAGTGAAATTTGTCTGGGCTGGTCTTATAGTAGCCTGCGTAACAACCGGGCTAACTATGGTTAAGAAGGAATTAACTGTAGTTTGTCCGGATGTGATGCAGTCTATAGTCTAATAGCAATGCCAACAGCAGCCATTCCAGGTAATCTTCATAACCTACCATATTCACTAGGTGAGCCCTCRCTCTTCCCATAACCCCTGTATTCCACGAGCATCACATTGCAATAACAGTGAGCATGCAATGCTTTGGCATTCAATAGTCTGTGACCAATATTACCAGCATTTCCATGGAAAAATAAAACTGTAGGTGCTTGAGCTTGAAGTTGAGGGGGTTGYTTGATAAAAAGAGCATTAATTCTGATACCATCTTGAGTTCGTATATACAAGTTCTCGTAAGGAAGGCCTAAAACTCTAGCATTTTGGACAAAGACTCTTGAYGATAAAGGTTGCTCAGGAAAATACAAGAACGAGTCTTGATAGTGATACAGAGCTCCTAAAACTGCAGCTGTGAGAAGGAGGAAGATCACCACGCCGCCATAAAGCCAGTAAAGWAGCAATAACGTTAGCATTGCAGCGCTACAAAATCTCCAAAAACGAACAATGATGAAAAGAACCAGGCGCCCAACAGTTTCGATTGTTTTGAACCCTGTTTTTTCCATTTTGCTGGGTAGATTTGGATCCTCAGTACTGCTCATCACTRAAATTTAGTTTATGCTACTTCCAATTCATTCTTCTATTCTAAAAACTCTTAACCGGAAATATGAAATCCTTCTGTTTTCATTCTTTCAAAATGGCGTTTTGTAGTGTGAGCACAAAGTTCATTTGGACAGCGGAAATAAAGTAACCAAGCCTTATTTTTKCAGGCCTGGTGGCTTAGCCTCCYTAGCAACGACTCAAAACAACTGTTCAGTTCATCTTTTTCGTACAATTTGTTTGAATTTCTTTCAATTTTTACCGARAAAAATGAGTTCTCATGACGAGGAAGAAGAAGATGGTCCTTCTGTGGACTCTTTGATTGCTGAAGAGCGAATTGCCGCGCGACGGCTTCGAATTCAACGGCGTTTAGAGGCYGCCAGAAGGTAAGATARAAAACTCTCGCTATTTTTAAGAGCACTGTCCCAATATTTTATTGTCTTTTTCATTGTCAAATCATTCTAGATTAGCTTACTAGTTATATTTATATGAACAGGCAAGCGAGTGGCGAAGATACAAGCCAGAAAAAGCCTGTAGATTCGGAAAAAGATGCTTTGAAAAGCAGAAAACAGATGGAAGAGAGCAGACAGGTATAACTTATAATTTAAGTTAATCATTTCTTACAATTGAGAATTCGTCAATACCCCAGTCTCAGAGGTTTTCTTTTCTTTTAAAAACGTTTTTTTAGTATTTTATCGTGTTTTTGTCTTTACTTTTGTGCTTTAACGGCAAAAAGACAAAAATACGAAAAGACAACTGTAAAAGAAGAAACGTCTGGAACTAGGGTAATTAATTTGTCAAGGGAGTCGAGGACGAAGTACTTACAAGTGGCTTACGATGTATTTTGCATTTATCCAGTTAATTATGCTATATTTTGACTGTAATTTCTTTRTCTACAGCGACTACTCAAGCTCAAAACAGATGGCACAGAACTTGTTACCAATGTATCAGTGGCAGCAGATGCCAGGGAGGCAATGAGGAGGCTTGAAGAGGAGGAATCAAGAAGGCAGAGGTAAGTATGTMCAATCCATGCGTAGATATAGCGACATATATAGAACATTTGTATTGAATCTCAGGCAGCCCACCCCATTCATGTCTTCTATGAAATACAGGGCCGGGTTGTTCAAAGGCCAGTTAGCGCTAATCCTCGGTTAACTCTTAGAAAACCTATGGAGTCAACCCTGGATTAACGCTAATCGGGCTTTGAGCAACCCGGCCCAGGGCTGATTAGCGTTAATCCAGGGTTAGACTGATTCCATAAGTTGTAGTATTCCTCGGTTTTCGGTTTGTTACGAAACTAGCGACAGGCCTGTGAGCGACAAAAACTCTGACAGAGAGCAAACTGGGACTGACTTATGGAATCAGTCTAATCCAGGGTTATCACCAGGATTAGCACTAATCGGGCTTTGAACAATTCAGACCAGGTGTAAATATCTTGACTAATGGTTGTATTGTTAACATTTGCCTCTATTGACTGTTAACACTTTCAATTATTTGTAGAAATGAGAAACTTGAAGCTGAAGCTAAATCTGCTACTGAAAAGTTTGAAGAGGTAATATCTAGCACTTCATGTTATCATCTTATAATTCTCTTCTCCTTACATCAAATACTCCGATTTCGAGTTCTGGTTTGCTCTGTGTTAGCCTCAAAACCAAGCAACATATTCTTTTGTTTCATTGATAGCCCGAGAAAACGCATGGAATTTGAAAAGAAAGACAATGGAATTGATTTGAAATCTCACACTTTTATTCTCACAATTAGGAATGTTTTGCGCACAAATGAGGCTAACACAGAGCATTGGAGAATTCGAAACTGGATTATTCTGGTTGGGTGGTAGGGGACCGTAGGGAGCTGGGTTCATTGGTTCCAGAGAGCTGCTGGTGGACCATGGCCCTTTAAAGAATCATAACCAACCGCCGTACCTAGCGAGCCGAAGCGCCATTTTAGGAGGACACGAAAATGGCGGATTCGTAGGATTTCTTAAATTGTGCACGAATCATCTTCCGTCCTTTCAGTTTGGACAGAAATACATTTAACTAAGTACCTCACAGCTACTATCAATCTATAATTTATTGTATCCTTGACTCATTTAAACGTATGTAAACAATAATACGAGCACGCAAGGTACGGAGTTGGTTATGATTCTTACCATTCGTAAAAAATTACTTTTCATGACATTTATTTATTAAATGTAGATAACCAAGAAATGGGAATATTCCTTGTCAAAAGAGATTCCACAAGATCTACATTCTGTAAGTATTGTTTTTGTAATAACATCATTAGCTATAAAGATAGCCATTTTACCTTTTTGGATCCCTTGGTGTCCTCTTGGCTGAGTGGGGTCTTTGGTAGAGCTAAGAAATGAAGAGGTTGGCTACCAAAAGAATATACTGTGCCGCTGGGACATCAAAACCCTGACCCTGTTCCAGAGTGAAATTTCTAAAAACTAAACCCTGTTCCAGAGTAAAATCGCTAAAAACGATACCCAGTTCCAGAGTAAAATCGCTGAAAAACGATGCCCTGGTTGGAGGCACGTCCCCGTATAGCGAATATAGGGGAATAACCCCCCACCCCCCAGGGAATATCTGTTTCTATTTGCTATCAACATGGATGCCATCACCCTCAAAGTTGTTGCCTAAATTTGTAACAAATGATGATTATTTTTCTACTGATGTGTGGAATAAGATATGACATGGTTTCTATACTGATTTCTCTAGATGCTGGTTGAGCAGAAAACATCTTGYGATGCCATGATTGATGAAAAGGACAAACTAATCCATGATTTYCAGCAGGTAAGCTATTTCTTATCTTCAGTTCTGGTGAGCCAGGTAGCACCGCTCGGAACGGGTCTCATGATAGGTTGAGAAAACAATGGACAAACAATAGATAAGTCTTCCAACAATATAACAAAACCTAACCTAACAATAGTGGTGCTGTACTTAAGGAGCAATCAAAAAGCAGGTTTCAATTGGTACTGCATTACTGGTTCTGGTGGTAAAGTAGGTGCACACTCCCTCCCTAGAGTTCATCGCTTTCATTTACTCTATATATTTGTGTTACATTTGAAGAKATTTTTATAGGAAGAGCTCCCTCCCCCCTGAACAAATCCTGGTTCTGTCCCAGATTAATTTTTATTATGTATTAGTATTATTTAAGACCTAAAAAAGAGGGTGGGGTGTTTCCCATTCCTTAAATGGTCAATTTTAGGCCCTCCCTATCACCCCTCCCCCAGAAACTAAGCCCCCATCGACCCTTACGTCCAAGTTAGGCCACATTTACTACGAATAGGCAATATGCATTATGGCGTCATTTACTACAACTACCAGAATACTTTGCCAACTTTCTTTTGTAATGCAATTTGTGCCAATTGTTTTATTAATCTCCAAGGGGATTGAAAATCTGAATAACAATGAAAATGCGCAAGGCTCTCTGGCAGTTGTAGTAAAGTTACGYCATAATGCAAACGGTCTATTGTTATCTGTATAGGAACTAAAAGGACGAGATGACCAGTATGTGAAAGACCTTAAGAGGGCTGTAAGTATTCACACAGTAAACAAGGATTTTTCTATTTYCTCGACTGTTATTTCTTTTGATGTTTATTAGGGGTTGCTATATTGTATATAATTCTTTTTCTCTTTTAGGCAGAAGACATTGATTTGATTATTGAACGAGAAGAAGAGCAAATAAAACAACTTACYAAAGCTTACAGAGAAGAAGTCACCCAGATAGAGGTCTGTTGGGAATTTATATAACGGTGTTATAGTCYATTCCTTCAGCAGGCATTCTTTTTAGATCATTCACATTTTCAGAAACTCTGTTTTAGCGACGGAAGATTACTCCTCGGGACGTCCGAGCATATAGTTCATAGAAACTCACACTGAATATTTGATTTGTGCTTTGAGCAAATCATGTTTAATGCTTTCAAAAATCCTACAAAGTTTAGAGCGCGTTTTACACATAAAAGGAAAAAATCTAAAAGTTGACTTAAAAGAGGCGACTTCAAAATATGKTTTTTAATTTTGTTTACAGGCACTGTCGCGTGAAATTGGAGCAGGCATATTGCGCGGACATTGATACTTTTTTTTCTTATTTTTGGAAAAAAGACGAGAATGAAATCTAAGGAAATTTCATGTAACTTTTTATCAGCGAATTCTTCGCTATTGTTTTGCAAAATCTTGAAATTACAGGCTCAAGATAACTACTACAATAAGGTAGAGTCTTTTCTAATTAGTTTCTGATCGTGCATCCGTTGAGCTCTACTTGATGGGCGTTGTATTCGTCGCACTTTTTCATGTCCGACATAAAAACTGCTTTTAGGGAGACTTTTTGAAGGGCTATTCGAAGTTCAAAAGACTGCAACTCCTATCTTGGTTTGTTGTACAAAATTGCATCTCTGCATAAATGGTGGGAGCTATTCGGTGTCTTCGTCGGTGTTTCTAAAGAAACAGTTGTGTAAAAAGATAAATTTTGACACCGTAAAAAAGTAGGAGTCCGACGAAGGATTAACGTCTGAAACGTCAGTAAGTTATTTCACCTACTTATTTATGGTGTTCAAATTTATCTTTTTACRCATCTCGCTGCATAAGGGGCGGATCCAAGGGAGGTACTTTGTGTGCTTTTTGGACGATGTAATATTAATATATCATTATAAACCTTTTTTTTCTGCTGTTTATACTCCTGTTGTACTTTTATCGAGAAAACAAGTAGCATACACAACATGTCTGCCACTATGCTGCTTAAACAATCTATTTGAGTAGTGTAGTCAAA